CTTGTGCCTACACCACAGTCTTGATATCCAAAATCTAAGTCCTGCAGATTTATTTTTCTATTTTGATTGTCTTAGCTATGGTCACTGCATCTGCATATACATGTTTTTGAGACAGAGACAGAGAGAGATAGCATGAGCAGGGGAGGGGCAGAGGGACAGGGAGAGAGAATCTTAAGCAGGCTCCACACCCAGCACAGAGCGTGATGTGGGGCTTGATCTCATGACCATAGGAGATCATGACCAGAGCCAAAATCAAGAGTCAGATGCTTAACTGACTGAGCCACCGAGGTGCCCCTGAATATACATTTTAAATTCAGATTTGCTAATTTCCAGTAACAAAACCTGCTGTTAGATGGTGATTGGGTTGCACTGAATGTACCACTCAGTTTTGGGGAAATGAACCTTCAAAGTCATCAAGACAGTTATGTATATCCTTTCATTTATTTTCATCTTTAATATCCCTTAATTTGGTGGTGGTGCAGTTTTTGGATTTCTAGAACTTACTGTTTTTGGAATACTGTAAGCTTAATAGCGATGTAACAGTATTTAAAGTGTACAACTTGGCAGGGTGCCTGGGTGGCTCAGTCGGTTAAGCAGCGACTTCAGCTCAGGTCACGATCTCACAGTCTGTGAGTTTGAGGCCTGCCTTGGGCTCTGTGATGACAGCTCAGAGCCTGGAGCCTGCTTCCGATGTGTCTCCCTCTCTCCCTGCCCCCCCCCCCCCCGCCCCGTGCTTGCTCTCTTTCTCTCTCAAAAATAATAAACATTAAAAAAATTTTTAAGTGTATATCTTGATATAATTTGATAAATATAGCTGAAAAACCATCACAATATAGTGAACCTACCCATCACCTATAGGGATCACTTCCCCTTTACTGCCTGACGTCCACTGTCATGAAAACAGTTATTTCCTGGATTTTATCAGTTTCCTTTTTCAGTTTTTTTTTAAGGCAGGTAGGTAGATCTGGTCTCTGCTACCGTATCCTGGGTGGATACAACTGTCCTGCTATCACTTGTTTTCTATTTGTAGTTTTTTACACAGTGAGTTTGCTCATTCACCATTTTTAGTAACTTCTCCGTAAGTTTTTTTCACTTTTCCATGCAATGATACCACCGACCAATAATGAGTTGGCACTTCAATCTTCCAAGTTTTAGGCCTTAAACTTTGTTCCTTTTTGCCTTACTGACGAGCTAGAGCCTTCAGTCATATGTGAAACAGAAGTGGTAACAAGCATTCTTATCTCATTAATATCAGGAAAATATAGGTCAATATTTATTTATTTAGTATAATATTTGCTGTATGTTGGTTTCCTTTTGTGTTTGATGAACTTTCCTTCCGTTCCTAGTTTTGTTGGTTTTTAACCATGAAAGGAAAGTTTTTACCAAATATGTTTTCTGCATCTATTGAAATAATCAAATGGCTTCACTTATTTTTTCTACTAATGTGGTAGGTTACATCAACTACCTTAAACTTGTAAATATTTATTCTGAAATGACTTCACACTTAAAAAAGTCACAAGTGCAGTACCAAAAAACTCCCATATCCCCCTCAGTCAGATTCTCCTAACCGCACTGCATCTCCTCCATCAGTCCTATGCGCTGTGTGCACATGCGTGCGCACAGGCACACGCGCTCTCGCTCTCTCTCGCTCTCGCTCTCTCTCTCTCTCTCTCTCTTAGCCTTTGTCTAAAGCATTTAAAAATAAGCTGCAGAGGCACCTGGGTGGCTTAGTTGGTTAAGCGTCCAACTTCGGCTCAGGTCACCATCTCCTGGTCTGTGAGTTCGAGCCCCGTGTCGGGCTCTGTGCTGACAGCTCAGAGCCTGGAGCCTGCTTCGGATTCCGTGCCTCCCTCTCTCTGTCTCTGCCCCTTCCCCACTCAGTCTCGCTCTCAAAAATAAACATTAAAAAAAATTAAAGCAAGCTGCAGCCATGAGGCTCCATTACCTCTACATATTCCAGTGTGTATTCTCCCCAAAGGCACTAACCTATAGAACCACCCAGCAATCATCCACATCAGGAAACAAACATTGATAAACATGACCATCCAATCCATACACTGAATTTTGCCAACTGTTCTACCAATGTCTGGTCTTCATTTTTATTTTAAAATTATCTCCAGTCACCTCTAATCTGAAACAGCCTCTCAGTCTTTTTCGTATCTTTCACATAATAAAAAACTATAGGCTTTGCATTCACTAAAATAACCATTCATATGGATTCACCTGATGTTTCCTCCTAAATATAGGTCAAGCTTTCTTTTCTTTTTTCTTTTAAGTAGACTCTACACCCAGTGTGGAGCCCAACACAGAGTTTAAACTCATGACCCTGAGATCAAGACCTGAGCTGAGATCAAGAGTTGGACACCTAACCCACTAAGCTATCCAGGCATCCTACAGGTTGTGCTTTCTTGGCGAAAATACCACACAAATGATGCTGCCTCTTCTCAGTGCATCTCATCAGGGGACACATCATGCTGACCTGTCCTACTCCACTGGTGAGGTGAACTTTGATTGCCTGATCATGCTGGTGTCTGCCAGGTTTAATCACAAAATCACCCTTTCACCTCTGCAGCTGATGGGTATTTTGTGGGGAGATATCTGAAGATTATGCCATATCCTGTTCTTCATCAAAGCTCTACTCACAGACTCTAGTCTATGCTGACAACTACCTCCTGAATCAACTGCCCCTCCAATGGTTGCCCAATGGTGTTTTTCTATGTCCATTATTCTCCCTACATTTATTAACTGGCATTCTTCTGTACAAGTCTTCCCTTCTCCTTTATGAATTTACAAATTTATCTATATCACTATACATTAACGGACTCCCATTTTATTAATGGGAATTAATAATTCTGATGCTATGTTCAAACTGTCTCAAATCTGGCCAGTGGAACCTGACCAAGGTGGTTCTTTTGACTCCATGATTATTTGAACATTTTTTTACTGTCTGGCAGGTAAGATGATTCAGGTTCATCGTGTATTTCTCCCCATCTTTTACCTGAAACCAGCCATCACTCCGGAGACAGTCCCTTTTTTGGTGGAGGACAGCATTTAGACATTAGTAACCTGGCATTTGGTGTGCACACTGCTCCTGGGGTGTCACTGTGTGTAGGCCCTCTCAGCAGACAGATCCATCTCACACACACACCACACACACACACATTTCTGTGAGTTACATTCCAATCCAACACCCTGGGATTTTCTAACTTTCCCCTCTCCCTTTTCATGAAAACCTTCTCTGATCTGGCTCTCATCATCCTCAGCACATTTTCTCATCTGCTCAATGTTATTGATACTTTAGCCACGATGATCATCTCTTCCAGTTGCATTCAACACCTCTGATGCAAGTGTGCACATCACCACACCTTTCTCATCCTTTGTGGCAAGCCTGTTCTGACTTCCACTCTAGGAATGGAAGGCAGAAGAGAAACACAGAAAGCACAAGGGAGAAGGGAGAACGTGAGAGGAAGAAGAACTGGCCAAATCGATTTAATTTTAAATAGTAAATCCTTTGATTCCCCTAATAACCATTACTTGGTCCATGGATATGACTGGATTTTTTTTTTAATTTAAGATTATGCACCTTAATTCATAAAATATTGGTAACTTTACTTTCCTGAAATGTCTTTTACAGGTTTTGGTATCAAGGTTGTACCATGCCCCCAAAATGAATTAGAAAAGTTCCATCTTCCATTCTCTGGAAAAGGTCATGGGAGCTTCCTATTATTTCCTTCTTAAATATTTGGAATAACTGCAGTGAAAGCATCTGTACTCAAGAGTTTTCTTTCTGGGCAGTTTTGTTTTTTTTTTTTTAATATCAGGTATCATTTGTACAACTGACCTCTGGTATGACCTTACCTTTACTGATAGCATGCTGTGCTCGCCAAGGGCCCATCCTACTAACAGTTCCAATCATTTTTTGGAACTGAATTCCAATCATTTTTTCTGTCCTGAATAAAATCAACTTTTGGCCTAGCTTTTCAGGCTCCTTCCCGTCCTGAATCTTCTAAAAATTTGAGAAACTAGCTACGAGGCTTAAGCCTCTAATGTTGAAGAAATTTTCACTCCAGCCTTGACTGCTGAAAGTTCTGCTGGCTTCTGGTCTCCGCCCTCTCGCTACGAGCTTCACCCTCTACCTGAGCCAAGCTCAGGACTCAGGTTCCTCTGTGCCCAAAGCTGGCAAATGCTCCCAGGGGAAACAGGTGCATTTTGCCCGGGGAACTTTCTGTGACTCACTCCTCTCCTGAATTTTACCTTTAGTCCTCTTTGCTCCTGCAGCAATAAGCTGCATTGAAACAGATGCTTTTTGTGATGTTTCTCTAGTTGTTCTCATTAGGCCACCGACCTGCTACAAGTTACTACTCAGCACTGGAATCTACTTGTGCTTTTTAATTTACTTATTTTTACTTGTGCTTTTTTAAAGCTTTATATTTAAGAATGCATTTTTAAATGTTTATTGAGAGAGGGGAGAGAGAGAGAGAGAGAGAGAGAGAGAGAGAGAGAGAGAGAGAGAGACAGGCTGAGAGAGATAATCCCAAGCAGGCTCTGTGCTCTCAGCATGGTGCCTAACATGGGGGTCAAATTCCCAAACCATGAGATCACAACCCGAACCAAAATCAAGAGCTGAATGTTTAACCAAATGAGCCACCCTGGTGCTCCAAAGAATACATTTTTGTATGTGACTATTACGTTTTCTGGAAATTGTTACATCACCTATGAAGGTATTAATTATGTGGAGAGACAGAGTGGGGTATGACAAGTCACCCCAGCAGGGTGACACTGAGACAAACGTAAACGCCTGCCAGGGAAGAGACCACCTATGCTTCATGCACGCTCACTTCTACTGCCTCCACTAAGTTGTGCGTGCAGCAACCCACCTTTCCCCTCTGACCCCCTAGGCCAGGATGAGCCGCTCTCAACAGTCTGCCCCAGAAGCATGAACACATCCTGCTAGCAAGCTGCCCGTCCATGAGCCAACAATCCAGAACCTCTCTCTCTACCTGGGCATCCGAAAGTCCTCCTGGTGGGTCCTCTTGCTAAAAATCTTCTCTTCTTCTGCAGATGCATGAGCCTCTGACTTGCTTCCAACTGCTGGTCCCAGCGTGCTGTGTTTTCACATCTAACACCTTAAACAGTGGGGAATAACAAGCCCGGCAATGGGCCAAATTGCATCTCAACAAAAATACAAAGCTATTTCTAAATGAAAACCATCCTCCACCTTAAATTGCCAGAGATCCTTCAATTCAAAATATCTGATGCATAAGCTTAGATTTTTAACTTAAAGCTCCCACACATTTAAAATAATGTATTTTGTCTAGAAACTACTGATATCCACTGAGATGCTAAACACAACTAATAAAATAGCACAATGCTTTCCTATAGCTTCCTATAATCTGTGCATGTTCTATAGCCTGTGGATCAAGTATTTTCTACCCTATGAACATTAATAGAGGTTTCTAACTTGTGAGGTGTGGCTTTGGGTGATTTGCTGATAAGGTATTCTCCACTCTGAGATTTCTGATATAGTCTATGGTTCAAATTCCAGCACTAAAATTTTCTATATTCAGTAGCTTCATATTATTCTCTCCCCTCTATAAGTTCTCTGCTGTATTGTGAGAACTGACTTTAGACCTAAGATGTTTTCAAAATCATTACAGCAACAGATTTTTCTCCCCTTTTGCATTCTTTTTCTATAAAATCTTGACTTCACCCAGAGTGACTTCCCCCATTTATTACATTTATAGGGTTTCTCCCCAAATGTGTTCGTTGATGTACAGTGAGTTTTGACTTCACATAAAATGATTTTCCACATACATTACATTCATAGGGTTTTTCCCCTGTGTGTGTTCTATGATGTGCAATGAGTTTTGACTTTACACAGAATGATTTCCCACATTCATTACATTCATAGGGTTTCTGTCTTATGTGAGTTCTCTGATGAACAATTAGGGCTGACTTCTGACGGAAGTTTTTCCCACATTCATTACATCCAAAAGGTTTCTCCCCTGTGTGTCTTCTCTGATGTTCTGTGAAACCCGAGTAGTAGCAGAAAAATTTCCCACATTCAATACATTCATAGGGTTTCTCACCTGTGTGAGTTCTCAGATGTTTGGTAAGGGTTGACTTCTCAGAGAAGGATTTCCCACATTCATTACATTCATAAGGTTTCTCCCCTGTGTGAGTTCTTCGATGTTTAATGAGGTCTGATTTTCTAAGAAAGGCTTTCCTACATTCATAACACTCGTAGGGCTTCTCCCCTGTGTGTGTTTTCTGATGTACAGTAAGGACTGACTTGAACGAGAAGGCTTTCCCACATTCACGACATTCATACGGTTTCTCCCCTGTGTGTGTTCTTCGATGTTGAGTGAGGGTTGACTTTTCACTGAAGGATTTCCCGCATTCCTGACATTCAAAAGGTTTCTCCCCTGTGTGAATTCTCTGGTGTTTAATGAGGTCTGAATTCTTGTAGAAAGTTTTCCCACATTCCTGACATTCACAAGATTTTTCCCCTGTGTGTGTTCTCTGATGTCTTGTGTGGGCTGACTTCTGGTTGAAGGTTTTTCCGCAATCATGACACTCATAAGGTTTTTCTCCTGTGCGTGTTCTCTGTTGTACACCAAAGACTAGCTTTTCACTGAAAAACGTTCTACATTCATTATATTCAATCACATTGTCAATTGAGTGGCTTCTCTGAACTGGAATGAGGTTTGACTTCTGGCTGAAAGGCTGAACACTCTGATGCTCAAAGAGAATGGATTCCTCAAAGAAATTTTCTCCACATTCATTAAATTCATACTGATTCTCTCTTGGATGTGTTCTCTGATGAGCCATGAGGGATGACATATCACAGAAGATCTTCCCATAATCAGTGTGTTCACAGGAGTTCTTTCCTGTGTAAGTTTTCTTATGTACAACAAAGAGTGAATTCTCATGGAAAGCTTTCCTACATTCACTGTACTCAAAAGGTTGCTCCAAAATCTGAATTTTCTGACGGTGAACAAAATCTTCATTAAGATGGAGGCCATTCCCGTTTTTATTATATTTATAAAGTTTCTCTTCAGAATAAATTCCTTCATGCTTATCATTATGGAGCCAATTTCTACCTTTGTTAAACTCATTGAACTTCTTTCTTGAATAGTTTCTACTGCTATTAATTAATTCTGAAATATAAATAGAGTGACAAGGAAGATTAGTTGACAGGAAAATTAGGAGAAACAGAATTAGTTAGGTTTTGGGGAGCGGGTAAGTTTAGGTCATTATCTTCTCACATCTAGATTATGACAACAGTATACACATTTCCAGTCTCATCTCTCTCTTCCATTCTACACAACAGCAACAAATCAAATTTCTAAGAACTCTAATTCAAAAGAGAACAGTACTATAACCCAATCTCTAATATCTAATTCTGTTACTAGCTCTAAATCACTAGCAATAAAAACATACAACAAAATAGCAAAATCAATGAGTGGTCAAGCCAGCCTTGCCACAGGATCAGATTTACAGCTCTTTTCTGATTTATAGATATTTTCCTTTATTCCATCTGAGTTGTTCAATAGTGAACCATCAAACCCTCTTCCAATGCTTTCTGGCTTTCCCCCAACCAAATCTCACCTGATTTAACATTAGTCTTCAATCCTGCATACACACACACACACACACACACACACACACACACACACATCTATATCTTTGCAAAACATGTAAACCTACAATTCTAAACCTGGTCCTAAAACTGTCATTTACCTTTACTTTAATATTTTTTTGGTTATGCATGCTCACCTTTACTCCTCTGCTATCTACAATACTATATTTGTAATGATATATCATATGATACTGTAAAAAACCCATAATAATACTATTGAGTCCAACAACCTAAGAACTGACAATATTTTTTACAATGGTATCACACTGAAGAGAACATATCAGTTATATCCGGATTCAGCTTAGAATCAAGCTGTCAATTTACAAATCTAGAATGAATATATTTTACTCTGGTAAGCCCAGCTGTTTGTCCCTTATAAATTGCTCATTCTCATTCATAATCTTATATTCTTTCACTCCGTTAGCTTACAGTCCAATAATGTTTTTAAAAAGTTGCTTTCCCAAATCTCCCCATAATTTTCAGCCTTATTTGTTAAAAAAAAAAAAAAAAGGCCTAAAACATAAGCAAACATTTCTCCAAAGAAAACATACGGATAGATGGTCAACAGACACATGAAAAGATGCTCAACATCACTCATCGTCAGGGAAATGCAAATCAAAACCACAATGAGATATCACCTCACACCTGTCAGAATGGCTAAAATAAAAAATACATAAAACAACAGGTATTGGTGATGATGCGGAGAGAAAGGAACCCTCATGCACTGTTGGTGGGAATGCAACCCGGTACAGCCACTGCGGAAAGCAGTATGGAGATTCCTCAAAAGAGTTAAAAATAGAACTACCCTATGATCCTGCACTCACAGTACTGGGTACCTACCCAAAGAATACAAAAATACTAATTCTAAGGGATACATGCACCCCAATGTTTATAGCAGCATTATTTACAATAGCTAAGATATGAAAGCAGCCCAAGTGTCCATTGATAGATGAATGGATAAAGAGGATGTGGTGTGTGTGTGTGTGTGTGTGTGTGTGTGTGTATACACACACACACATATACATACAACGGAATATTACTCACCCATCAAAAAGAATAAAATCATGCCATTTGCAACAACATGGATGGAGCTAGAGAATGTAACGGTAAGTGAAATAAACCGGTCAGAGAAAGACAAATACTGTATGATTTCACTTGTATGTGGAATTTAAGAAACACAACAAACAAGCAAAGGGGGGACAAAAGGGAAAGAAACCAAGAAACAGATTCTTAACTATAGAGAACAAACTGATGGTCACCAGAGGAGAGGTGGGTAGGGGGATGGGTAAAATAGGGGATGGGGATTAAGGAGTGCACCTGTCGTGATAAGCACTGGGTGATTAAAATAAAAAGTTAAAAAAAATCTGTTTGTATAATTTACTTTACCACAAACATGAACTACACTGCAGTAACACTGTCTTTGTTAAACACTAATTTTTTTTTTTAAATGTTTATTCATTTATTTTGAGAGACAGTGTGTGTGAACAGGGGAGGGACAGAGAGAAAGGGAGAGAAAGAATCCTAAGCAGGCTCTGTGACATCACCGCAGAGCCTGACAAGGGGCTCAATCCCACGAACCACTAGATGACCTAAGCCAAAATCAAGAGTTGAACACCCAATCGACTGTGCTCCCCAAGCACCCCAAATACTAAATTTTTAAATATTTCATGCAGCTCTGATTTTCATTCAACTATGTTTCTGGCAGCCAAACTCTACCTATGATTTTCTTTCAACACTGAACAGATATGAAGTCAATGGTATTTAACAAACGGTTTTTAACAGAATTAACTGCACAGCTTTACCAAACACAAATTTTAGGCATCATACTGAAAGGTTTAGTGGTTTCCGTCTGTACTTTTAAAAATACTTCTGGGGCACCTGGGTGGCTCAGTCAGTTAAGCGTCTGATTTTGGCTCAGATCACGATCTCATGGTTTGTTGGGTTTGAGCCCCTGACAGTGCAGAACCTGCTTGGGATTCTCTCTCTTCCCCTTTCTCTGCCCCTCTCCCACTCATGCTATCAAAATAAATAAATAAACTTAAAAAAAAAAACTTCTGTAAAAAAAACAGCGAATATGGTAAAATGTCACTGAAAACTTTTTAAAAAGCATGTATAGAATAATGTATTTAATATTATGACATTAATAATTAATGTTAGTTTATAATGAAAATAAGTATTTAAATGCTATTAACACATCCATATAAACCCCATCAAAAATGTCCTGTTCATCTGAGGGAGATGACACGGGGTTGGCTTTCACACTCCATAGTAAATTTTAAAATGAGTGTGTGCTACTTCTGATAAGAAGAAACAAGGATGATAATAGACACGATTTTTTTCACTCTCTATGTCAGTGTACACAGAATAAATCAGAGTCTAACAAATCTTACATGACTGATGAGCTGGCATGTAAGTTTGTAAAGAATTTGTGGTAATGGCTTTCTGCATTATTATGAAAATCTGGCTCTATGTGGCTCCACGGTCAAGCAAAATCATTAATGTGCAATACTAGATTTTTAAGAAGTGAAACCAAGATCTTTCTCTTTGGAGGATCAAAATACTGATAGGAAGAGAAGCCTCTATAATTACCTAACTATATGACCAGGAATTAATTTCCTGACGGGCAGACATGGAACGAGAAGTATGCTGAGTAGTCTCTTGGCAATATAAAACATGTGATGAACACAAGAAGCCATTACTCAATGTCAGGCACTCTTTCCACACCTTGTTTTCTGTTTAGGTTTCTCATTTACAACCTCCATGTTTCCTACTTATTTTCAGCAATATCTTTTTGTTTTTCCTAGATTTTTATGTAATGTCTACACCCAACATGGGGCTTAACTTACAACCCTGCAATCAAGCATCTTCTGTTCCACCGAGTGAGCCGGCCAGGCACCCCTGCAATATCTTTTCTACCTCTGTTTTTTTTTTTTAATTGTATTTTGATTACTGCAGTGATTTTATTCTTTTTTTTCAATTATTTCCTATGATATAACATAGAATTATTTCCTATGATATAATAACATAGAATTATTTCTTATGATATAACACAGTTCATAACACACCTTCCTGGGGTCTTACTATCTCCTTCAGAATGAATTACCTGCCTCTCTTATGTTCTCGTACACCAGAAACCATGTTTCATTGTTAATTTATATTAAAAACTAGTGACAATATTCAGACATTACACGATAACATTTTCAAGTGAATTATTTTTCACCTGCCACTTGCTTGTCCTGTCTTCTCCTGTTTCTCATAATAACTTTGAATCCATCTCGTGTTATGTTTCTTAACAAGGGCACTGCATGCTCTCCTCAATCTTTACTACGGTCTCCAACCAACCGAGAGAAGTCTTTGGTTTGTTTCAAGTATCAAAGTCTTCTGCACTTTCTACCACTTCACAGATGGCCTGCATCTTTCCAACAGAGCTTGTGTGTGTGAGTCCTCATCCAGCCCCCAGTGTGGAGTCCACTCCAGCCCTCTGCTTCTCACAAAGAAACTACAGAGATCTACCAGCATCCTAAAAGTCCTTCCTCCTGTTCTGTAAGATGAGGTTCGACGATCCGAGGTCACACCTTTGGACATGGCAGCTGGGCACACACCTCCACCCCGTTTTTCCCTGCTCTTGGCAACCCTTCACTTGTTCTGTTGTTGACAGCTAAGCTTTCTGCTTGTTCTTTCAAAGTGGGGTTTGACTGGTAGGTCTTAGCTCTTCCTGTTTCTAAGAAGTCAAGGTTAAAATGCCAACTTTATGTTTCTGTCTTCAAGCCTGAGGTCCTTTACTTCTCCTTGAAATTCTTCTCTGGCCTCCAGAGTATCACCTTCTCTCAAATTTACTCCATCCTCACAGACTCCCCCACCGTCCCCACTGCTCAGTCCTCATCGTCATCACTTCTAAACCACATGGTGCCCCAGGATTCAGCCACAGTTTCAAGCTCCCACGACTGAACATCTCCACACAGCCGGCATCCACTCGTCTCTCCAGTTCGCCCTAACAGAATGCATATTGTTACATACAGTGTAACCCCTAAAAGGATAATAATTTTTTAAAAGACTATATAACTAGTCTATATAAAAGACTATATAACTATAAAAAGCTAATAGAGGCAAAAGAAAGTAATAATTAAAAAACCCAAAAGGAGTTGTGAAAGGAGAAATAACAGAAGAAAGAAGAAATGGTACATAAAGACACGAAATAGGACTGCAGGCTTAAGCCCAATTATACCAGTAAACATAAATGGACTGAACAGTCTAAACAAGAAATTTAAAATGTCAGACTAGATTTAACAACAACTAGAGTGTGGTAAGGCTGGCAGTAAAGGATGAAACAGAATATATCCTACAAACTCTAAAGAAAAGAAAGCTGGTGTGGCGATGTTAATACCAGAAATGGACTCGAAGGAAGAGCATCACTGCGTATACGGAGACAGGCACCACATAGTGGTTCAAGAGTCCATTAAAAGGTGAGACATAACAATCGTAAATTTCTGTCTGCCTAATAATACAGCTTCAAGAAAT